ATAGTTATTTGAGATACCAGACGATCAATTCCATTATAATTTCACATGTAATCAATTTATAATGAGTAATTGATTGTTTATTGGTTGTAACACTCATATTTAATGATAAATAGAGTAGTGTTGATTTCACTTAAAAAATAAAATTTATATTTGATAGTGATCTTGTATAATGAGATAGTTGTTTGAGATACCAGACGATCAATTAAGTAATTTCACATGTAATCAACTTAAATTGATAAATTGATTGTTAATTAGTTATATTAATCATATTCCATGATAAATAGAATAGTTTTGACTAATTTTTAAAAGAAAATCTAGAATAGCTAGTAATTTTATTTGAATATGCTACAACAAATAAGTAAATTATTGTACTTTTTCATAGCAATTGCTACAATTCTCTACATCAATTAAACGAGTTGTTGTATTATTTTACAACAATTGTTTAAATTTCGACAACAAGCATAAAAATTATTGTACTTTTCATAGCAGTTGCTGAACTTTTCTACGGAAAAGTAAGAAAGTTGTTGTACTTTATATAGCAATTGCTAAAATTCTCTACAACAAGTAATAAAGTAATAATAAGAATAACAATAAAATCAAATATGCTCTCACAATCAAAATAACAACAATTAGTATCAAAATAGATAAGATCAAATGTGTTCACATATAATAACAACAAAAACAACAATTAGTATAAAAAAAAGATAAGATCAAGTATGTTCATAAAAAACAAGAAGTACAAATGTGTTTTTATGCAACATTTCGCTCGGAGCATGTTGTCCTCTTCTGACCAATTCTTTTGCATAAAGAACATTTATTTTTCTTCATTGAAAATGATTTCCCGATTCCTTTATGTATTTTTGAGGACCTTCTTCCAACCTTGCCTGACTCAACAAATGGAGAAGGTATTTTTCTCTCTAAAATCTCAATAAGAACTTCCCAAGTTTCTTCAGATGGCACCGGTTTAATTTCCTCAACATATGCAATAAGGTATACCTCTACTTTGTAATACGAAGAGGAGTACTCATAAATGTGTCTTCCATAGTCATCACCATATTGGCATCGAAGCGTTGCCATAGCATGTGGACATGGTACTTTGTCAATGTCAAAGATTTTACAAGTACAAGATTTGGCTAGCAAATCAACTGTTGCAACTTCATCATGACCGGTGACAATATACTTGTAGTTGGCAGTTTGATGGATCAATAGCTTGTTCCCCAGATTAATATTTTTTGCAATGTCTTTTTCTGTCGCAAGGACAAAGATGGTTGGTGCATTAATGAATTTCATACGCCTCTCAGGAAATTTTTCTGCAAATCGTCTGTTTATTGCATCAAATAAAGCAGTAATGGGATATTCTCTTTCATCAAGAAATATTGAGTTAACCGACTCAACAATATTTGTCGTCATAATATTGTACCTGTAACATATAAGTGTCCAATAATATATTTTAAGTATGTGTTTATAACTGTTGTATATTTTTTATAACAATTGTTGCATATTTCTCAGCAGGTGCTGAAATAAGTGCAGCAGTTACTATAAATAATTACAGCAGTAGCTATAAAAAAACTGTAGTAGTTATACCAACTATCAATAATAACTATAATAAATTTTACCTATTTCCGGGAAAGAATGCCCTGCTCCATCCGTGAAATCCAACGTGTTCAAGATGTGTGGCAGCCTGTGGAACCAAATCGCTTATCCGATTAAAATGATCACTGAACACATCAATATTATATGCTTTTGCCGCCTTATAAAAGTGGTAGACAACACTCGCATTGTGAAAATTATTTCAAATATTTTCTCCTAAGTGCCTCATGCAACAACCATAATGAGCTGAGGAAAATACAATTGAAACTATTTTTCTAATACTTTGATATCTATCAAAGATTATGCACAATTCAGAAGTATCAAGTACAAAACTTCTCAATTGCTCGAAAAGTATTGGTTGGAAGCATCACATTCAGAGTCTACTACGCAAAATGCCACCGAAAAAAATATGATTTTCCGCATCCTGTGCAACAGCAGACAACAACACACCATCATATTTACTTCTCAAAAATGTCCCATCAATAGCTATGACTTTTCTCATTTGTGCGAAACCAAGAATCCAAGCTCCATATGCCCAAAAAGAGTACTTGAACCTGCCATTTTCATCAATCTTCAACGCCGTTTTACTTCTCGAATTAGATGTCCTAAGCATATGACTATACGCATCAATCACTCCATATCCATGTTCATGCGTCTCTCTTACCAAAGACTTTGCAATCTCGCTACCCCTCCAAACTTTCCAATAACTAACCTTGCATCCCAATTCAATACGGATAGAGTTTTTCAAATCTTTTGTAGATGGACCTTTACCTTCGGGATATCTATCTTTAAGTATGCTCCAATGACTTTTGTTGTGGTGTGTGGATTATGACTCGTAAGATGTTTCAAGCCACATGTATGCATTTTTTCATGCTTTTTAATAGAAAATCTATCAAAATTTTCAATTTTCACCACTCTTAGCCACCACTTGCACTCAGGATGATCACATTTGACACGATACACTGAACATAAATTAATTACCTTCTTCAATCTAAATCTTTTTTGGCACAGCCAATTTTCAATGCAATATCTAATTCTTGTTTATTCTTAAATGACATATCTTTGTAAAAACATGTTCCATCATCTTGAGCATGACTGCATTAAGTTAATTAATTATCAGCTAAAGCAAAAATTAATTAAGTGTACAAAGAAGATGAAACTTTAGAAATAAATAAATTTATGAGTTCATAGTACTTGCCTATCATCAACTTCACCAAGAATGGGCAATCTATTCCGAACTTCAGGAGAAAGAATATGTTGACCTTCACGCTCTTCATTCGAAATATTCATATTCATCGTTCAACACTTGTTGGTCATCACATAAATTATGATTCTCCACCAATCTTTCAACCATGTAGATCCTTAAAACACCTCTAGGTTCATCTTCCAAATAAGTACTTAAACTAAGTTGATCATTTATCTTAAAAGGAACCATCTTCTGCTTTTCACCACAACTATGCAGGTAAGTGATCCCAATATCTTCCAACTCACAATTTAATTTACAACAAGTAATGATTTTATTCGCAAAATCATCATATGCAATATCTTGATGCACAATCATCGCAACTAATTCTTTACTCTACCAACTTCAAATATAACGATTGTTGGACTCGACCCATTCACCATTACAATCAACTGGTACTACTATTCTATCTCCCCATTAATGATGTTGAAGATACCTGAAAATATTGTAACTTAGAACTAAAAATTGATCATAAAAAAAATATTAAAATATCACAATTGTTGTAAGTTATTCAGCAGCTGCTGAAATAGATATAGCAGTTGCGGCAATTTATTCAACAACAACATTTAGCAATTGTTGTAAATTACTGAAATAGTCATATCAGTTGCTAAAAATTATTATACATTAGTGGCAAGAACAATAATACAAAAATCAAATTTTTAAATGAATACACACAAACAATACTATTAACTTGTTAAAATGATTAAAAATCATCAGTTAAGAAGTAATTTCTAAAGCTTAGACCTTTTCAAATCACATGTTAAATTAAAATTTGAGATTTTCCCTGATTTGGGGGTTTTCCTATTTTAGAAATTGGGGTTTTACTTAAATTTGGGTGAAAGTGTAAAATAAAAACTTGAGGACCAATTTAATTACTTTTTAAAATTGATTAAAAATTTGTCACCTACACTTAATAATTAAAACTAGAGTCACTTTTTTTTAGATTTCAACACTTTTTTGTCACCTATAATTCATTCTCCCAACATACTCTTTCTTTTTAAGTAGTGTCTTCTTAAAATTTTATTATTATTTTTACCCTAATTAGCAGGTTTATAATTCACCAAAAATTAAACTTACTCCTCTTTAAATATTAAATTCTTTCAAGAAAGAATCTCATGAATAATTTAACATTTAAATCTTGAAATGGGTCTATTCCTAAATTTCTAAAATAGTTTCCATCATTTTTCATCATTTTACTGTAACTATTTTTATTCATCATGTTGGATATATAAGTTTGCAAAAATGGTGGCTGAAAATGGGAAAGAAGAAGAAAAAAATAATTAACAAATTGACTAAATAGGTTTTCCACGCGCGCTCAACAAGTGTATTACACTCAATAAGTCATGTAAGCAAAAAGTGTCAAAATGACACAGTGAAACCCAATATAAGGTGTTTAAAATGAACAAAACTCAGTTAAAGTGTCTAAGTAAAAATTAGTGCCAACATTAAGGGACCGCCGATGAGTTAGCCCTTTCTAATATCCAAATATTAGAAAATGATCATTCATAATCTTAATGAAGTCATAAATTACGGACGCGAAGCACGGTTAAATTATCTAGTATAGTATACAACATTATACTATGTTATACACACTATAAATCTTATATTAAAATATATTATTTATAAAAGTTGCTTAGACTCAAACTCAAGCCATTGGTCAATGAACTCAATAAGAGCAGTGTGCCAGTGTCCCAGGAAAACTAATTAATTGCATGACGGGAAAAATCAGCTTAAATGATTCATAATTGTTAAAGAATAATAAAAGTCCACATTGGTGGTTAATGAAATGAATAGAGTTGAGATAACTTTTGGGTGTTAGTTAGACCCAAAATCTAATTTAATAATTATTGATTCGAAATTCAAACTCCAAGAATGAAAAACAACCAAAGAGGAAACCATTGTCTCAGAATAGATCAAAACGTATGGGCTATTTGCCTATTTCATACTCCTTCAAGTTCATATTAACACTCTATTTGGATCATTGTAATTCATTATTTTACAATATACTGTATTATATTGTACTCTATTATACTGTAATGTATGATAAATACAATGTTTGGCTAGACTATATTGTTTGTTGTTGTTTGAAAATATTTTTATTGTTTGGTTTGATTGTATCGTACTGGTATTGTAATTTATAAATTTACTAAAATCTCCTTAATTATTCTAGGGTAAGAGGTTTGACTAGAGTTAAATAATATAGGATAAAGGGTAAAAAGTATTATGAAATATTATGTAAGGATATAATTAGAAAAATAAATTAAGTAACAATGGGAACACACCAAATCGATTGTTCCATGAAATGGGTGTTTTCATTGTTACGTAACTACAAAATTTAACAATACAATTCATGATTTTAAGTAACAAGCAAAACAAATATCGTAGGTATGGTAACGATACAATACAATACAATGGATAACAATGATCCAAACAGAATGTAAGCGAATTGTTGAAATTTTTTTATAATCTAAAATAAGTAAATTGTTTAAACTTAAACAAAATTATGGCAACTTTTTTTCATATTTACGATTCATTTAATAGGGTAAGAACCATAGTGAAAAATGGTACTGTATTGAAAATTTTGAAAGAGTTATTCCCACCAAAAGTAAATTTGCAACATTTTGACATAGATTAAGGAATAAAGAGAGTGTTTCTCTCCCACTTGAGATAGGCATAGGCTGCGGACTGCCAGCGATAACTGGTAAACTCTCTCGTTTTCCCCTCTCTTCTTTTGTTCTATCAAACCATAAATTGTCCATTTAAAATTAAAATTGTTCATCTTGGGAGGAATTAATCTGCAACCTCGGGTACAGTGAGGGGATTAAATTTCTTAAGGAAACACAGAGGTTTCTGTGGACTCGGATTAAAATCATTATGTCTATTTCATCTACTTTCTGTTTCTGTATTTTTGGACTAACCTGAATACAGGAGATTAACAATCTTTAAGAAATTTATTAGTTTCTGTATTAAGGTTTTTGGAGATTAAACCTTTATGGTTTTCTACTATGTTTGAATTTTTAAAATTCATTCGATTAATGATTAAAAGAACATAAAAACTTTATCGTAAAATCAGAAACAGTCTGTGTAAGGATTTATTCTTTACTGGTAGTATTTCACATACTAAATTGTCTGCCATTTGTGACAGAAAAATGACTAATTCAAGTCAAGTAAATGCTAGAACAATAAGTGCTACAACAACATCGGTTGCACACAATCGTTCAAATGCTGCCCTAGCACCGGCTGAGAAACCTGCAAAGTTTTCTTGAGTTGACTTCAAGAAATGGCAGCAAAAGATGTTCTTCTATCTGACTACGTTAAGTCTGCAGAGGTTCATTAATGAGAACGTTCTTGTTATGTCGGATGAACTCCGCCTGAAGACGATTCTTGGTAACAGAAGCCTGGACACATTCTGATTTTTTGTGTAAAAATTATATTCTAAGTGGAGGATGATCTGTACAGTAATGTGAAAACCTCAAAAGAACTCTGGGATTCTTTATAAAAGAAGTACAAAACAGAGGATGCCGGAATGAAAAAGTTTATTGTGGCAAAGTTTCTGGACTAGAAGATGATAGACAGT